ACCAGGACCAGCTCCTTGCTCGGAGCAGCAGGCTGCGGGGAGTGAGCCATGGCCAGGTCCCTGGTGCCGTCTTTGCCTGCCTCCAGGAAAGCGTCTGGCTGTCGTTGACAAGGGAGAGCAGCAAGTATCTGGGGTGACAGTTACTGCTGGCAGAAAGGGGAAAAATGACCTCCCCTTGCAGCAGCGGTTGCTGCCCTATCTCTCTGGCCCCACTGCAGGAGAAGCAAGCCCTGGAAACACTCTGAGTGCCAGGTGAGCCAAGATACTCTGAATAGCACACAATGAGGAGCCTCGGAGCACAAGCTAATAGACAGCAGTTCTTTTAGCAAAACCTGTATGTTAATTCAATACAGACTACTTACGGAATTTCCCTTCCCTAAGAAAATCTCAACTTCTGTAGAGAAATACTGCTCAGTCTTGTTTTTTCTTTTCAGAACTTCAGAAGTTCCCTCAAAAATTCCCTGAAGCCTTAATAATAAAGATGCTCAGTTGCGTGTCAGGATGTAATGTACAATATGAAATTTTCACATTTGATGCTCGGTAGAGTTAAATTTACCACAGTGCTTCACATTCAATATATACCAAGAATTCTAGCAAAATCACACGCTGTTCAAGTACAGATTTTTCATGGGGTGCTTAACAATGAATTATTTAAAAGAACCTAATGTATCATGGTTTCTTGAGAGCCTAATGTGTGTATGTGTATATATTTATACATAAAATACCTGTGAGCCAGTACAGAATACCAGTTTCTGAGCGTAGGGGTTTTGAGTGTAAATCTAGAGGATGTTTAAAAATAGGTGTCCTCCTGAAAATGCAGTGGAGTTTTAGAAAGAAAAAAGCCTTAACATTTTTTCCCATTCAGATACACACACAGTCATTTAAATGGAATCTGTATCCTATAGGGCTCCTTTTAGATGAAAATTTAAAGTAAATTCTGCCATGAAGGATTTTTTTTCCCCAACGTGCATATTGATGTGGCATTTTAGATCTCGCTGAAAACTTTTAAAGAATTTCCCTCATTTTGAGAAGCTTACTATGTGCCTCCTACTAGCAATCATCCACAGTACTTTGGGAAAAGTACTTCACTGAGTGGGTATGCACTTCCTTTTCACTGATGGAAAAACAGACAGAAAAATATGAAGTGGTCTGCCTAGGATAAACAGCCTGGTATGCCACCTTTTCAGAGCCCTCAGAACCCTATTTTCTACCTGCCCAGGGCGGGAACCTGTTGGAGCAGACATGGAGCTGGGCTGGAGGGGTCTCCACCCCTAGCCCAGCTCACTGGAGGTGAGCAGGCTGAGGAGCGTTGCCAGCATACAGCTGCTGCTTCGGACACTTTTTTCAGACGGCCGTGGGAATAACCTCACAGGGCCAGACTTTCAGTTCTGTGTTTTCTCCTCTGACCCAAATTGACTTTGAGATGACTGGTTTTATGTTCAAGGGTGGATCAGCTGGCACCATCTGACATGCCCCATGCCTCCCTGGGGACCTGCTTCCTCTTTGACACCTCATTGAGTCATTCTTGTAAAGACACTTGTGCTTGCTTGCAGAGGAAGGGCACCGATTATACTCCTGTGCACATCCATGTGGTGAGAGGGCTGGATTTTCAGGCTGCTGGGTGGGACACAGTGTGACTTCTTTTAGCAGAACAGTTTTCTGCTGGTGCCGGGGGATTTGCCGTTGTCTTTCACTTGGACTTGCACATTGGAGCATCTGTCTTGAATTTATTCGGGTCCTTGCAAAGCGACTGATGACCTAGGACTTCCTTTGGCACCAGCAGCAGCTGTGGTGGGTCCTTTTTTCTCAGGCATCTTGTGAGGAAGGGCCAGCATCTGATGCTTCCTTCCTGATGACTCTGGTGACAATGACCTGGAGCTTTCAGACAGTGAGTGGCAGAAGGAGGAGCTGGATGCCATGTATCACAAAGGCCAGCAGGACAGGCTTTTGAGGAGGATAGCTGAACAGAACAAGTAGAGGTCCAGACCTAGTTTCAGAGGTCACTTGATCTCAGGTTTGTGACTGGTCAGACTTGGTACGCTAATCTTGAGCTTATGGCACCTGCAGGATCAGGCTAGTGTGTTCAGGCTGATGGCAATTCTGCTCTTTAGCAAGTCAGAGCCCTAAGTCTGAAAGCCAGAGGAGGAAGACAAGTACAGTCTCTAACAAAAGAATCATCCCTTTCTTGTCTAACTGGAGTGTTAGAATAAGACGTTTCTCATGAAGATACTCCTTGAGGGTCTGTTTTTTCCGTAAATTGCTAATTCTGTGATGAATACCATCTCTCACCTTGACTGCCAGGTTGCAGACTAACCAGGCAATGGAAAGGCAGGTCATACACCTATTTTTGCCTTTGGTGTAGTGAATGCTTCTGTTGCTTCCAGGCAGGAGGCAGGACAGGCTACCCACGGCAGTGAACCTGCTGCCATTGTCAGCCATAAATGTTTTGAAGGTGTAATTTAAGTGAACTCAAGAGGAAAAATAGCCCAGAGACAGCACCTGTGGCCAAAATCTCAGACAGAAGCCGTCTCATGTCAGTATGCAGCTTTGCACCGAGCGACTCTGCATCTTGGCTTCTCCCCTGTGAAATGGGGACGAGAGTACTCATTTGTCTCATGAAAACCCTGTGTGATTAAACGTGGTTTGAAAGGCGGCCCTGTGTGGAAAAAAAAAAAAAAAGGAAGACTCTGGAAATGATGGTCATGTTCTCTTAGTGCAGGCCCTGGTCAGGGTCTGGTCTGGATGCTAACTTTACAAGGGAAGGATGTAGCATGGCCAGAGAGTTTCCAGCTGAGCCCCGGGGCTGCCAGGGGAGTGAAGGCAGAGGAGGAGGAAGGAAGAACAGTGAGGTGATGCAAGAAATATTTAATTGGGTTTATTTGCTAAAGACATCACGTGCCGGCTCCAAACGTAAATCCTGATGGAAAACCCAAGCGGGTAATGAAAAGCAGCCAGCACCTCTTTGTCAGGG